TTCTTTCTTTCTTCAATCCGACACCGTTCCTCTCTTACTTCACAGCAGCTGTAAATCCTTCTTGCTCTCGGATTCTTCATTTGCTGCTGCCTGTGACTTCTTCTTCAGTCAACACCCCCCTTCAAGTTGTGGACATCATCACGATTCCCAACTTGTCCAGTAATTCTTTCAACCTCACTCTGTGCAGTGCCTTTGTGAATAGATCCGCCAACTGATTCACAGTACTAACATGCTTCAACTTGATTAATCCCAACTTAATCCTTTCCCTTGTGACATGGATGTCTATCTCTATGTGTTTCGTTCTTTCATGGAACACTGGGTTCTCTGCAATATGAATTGCTGAACGATTATCACAATAAATCGAGATTGGTAAAGGTACCTGCACACTCATTTCTGTCAACAAGCTTCTTAACCATTGCACCTCACAAGACAATAGAGCTAATGCTCTATATTCAGCCTCTGATGATGACCTCGAAACAGTGTTCTGCTTCTTTGTTTTCCAAGTCAGAAGTGAGCTTCCAAGAAATGTACAGTATCCAGTAGTTGATCTTCTTGTCTCAGGACAACTAGCCCAATCTGAGTCACAGAAACCCACAAGTTTTAGATCTGCTTTGCTGCTGAAGTAGATTCCTTGTCCAGGTGAACTTTTCAGGTATCTGAGCACCCTATAAGCTGCTTGTAGATGATCACTATGAGGGTCCTTCTGAAATTGACAGAGTTGTTGAACTGAGTATGTCAAATCTGGTCTGGTGATGGTAATGTAGTGCAACCTTCCCACTAGTCTTCTGTATGATTCTGGATCTTCAAGTCTAGTTCCTTGAGTTGATGTCAACTTGATCTTTGGATCTGCAGGTGACAAACAACCCTTTGCATCAACATATCCTGTGTCCTCCAACAAATCCATACAGTATTTTCTTTGACAAACTGAAAGTCCCTCTGCATTTCTTGTTACTTCAAGTCCCAGAAAGTACTTCAAAGGTCCCAACAGTTTCACCTTAAACTCTCTGCTCAACATTTTCTTCACCTGTTCAATATCAGTTTGTGCATCTCCTCCCACAATAATGTCATCTACATATACCAGCACTATAACAATCCTTCCTCTGATCCATTTAGTAAACATGGAATGATCTGAGTTTGATTGTGAAAAACCACTCTTCAAAAGAAATCCAGTAAGCTTGGCAAACCATTGCCTGGAAGCTTGCTTCAACCCATACAAGGATTTCTTCAACCTGCAAGCAATCTGTCCCTCTTTTCCCTGTAATTCAACTGGTATTTCAATGCCTTCAGGGACCTTCATATAAACTTCTTCTTCTAGGTCTCCTTGTAGGAAAGCATTAGAAACATCCATTTGATCCAAAGTCCAGTTCTTAACTGTTGCTATTGCTAACAAAGCTTTTACTGTGTTTATTTTAGCAACAGGAGAATATGTATCCAAAAAGTCTATTCCATACACCTGTGTGTAACCCTTAGCAACCAGTCTGGCTTTGTACCTTTCCACAGTTCCATCAGGTTTCAATTTTATCTTGAAAACCCACTTATAGCCTATCATCCTCTTACCTGCAGGTAACAGTACTATCTCCCATGTCTGATTTTCATCCAAAGCTCCTATTTCAGCTTCCACTGCTCTTTTCCACTCAATAAACTTCACAGCTTCTGCATAAGATCTTGGTTCCATCTGTGCCAAAACACTTAATGCATATTTTCTGTCAACCTTGTTAAGTTGATCAACATGTAAACAAATTGGATATCTGCTTACAGTTGCCACAGAACCAAACCCTCCAAAGGTTAGTCTGGGATCAAGTTCACAATCATTATACTTAGCTGGAAGATGATGCTGTCTAGGTGGCCTGCCAATTGGTTCCTCATAATCTGCTTGAGGTTCCAATTCAGGGTCATGTTCACCATAAGAAGCAGAGAAATCCCCTTGTACTGGAGACTCTATGATGTTTTCAGCTAGAGAAGGAGGTTCAACTGTTTGAGAGGGCTGCCCCCCATCATCAGAGGGTGTATGAGGAGTAGGATGTATGTCTGGTGAGGAAGAGGGTACTTGAACTGGTGGGGAAACTGGCATATGGGAGGGTAAGACCATTGGTGATTCTATAGGTAATTCTGGGGAGTCATGTCTAAAGGGAAGTATAGTTTCATGGAACACAACATCCCTAGAGACAAATACTCTATGATCCTGAAGATCTAAAAGCTTATAGCCCTTAATGCCTGGTGGTATGCCTAGGAATATACACTGTCGAGCTCTTGCATTAAACTTTGTTCTAGCATGGCTCAGTGTACTGGCATAGCAAAGACTACCAAAAACTTTCAAGTGTCCAAGAAATGGTGGTTTACTGTATAAGATTTCATAAGGAGATCGATTTTGTAGCACTGGAGTAGGTAGTCTATTAATGATATAGACTGAGTGCAGCACACAATCACTCCAGTACTTCAGTGGGATTCCTGATTGAAATCTTAATGAGCGAGCAACATTCAGTATATGTTGATGCTTCCTCTCCACCCTAGCATTTTGTTGTGGGGTTTCCACACAAGACATTTGATGCTCAATGCCATTTTCCATATAAAACTCACACATGTTGAACTCCCTTCCCTGATCACTTCTCACTACCTTGACTGTCTTTCCAAATTGGTTTTTAACCAGTTGACAGAACCCTTTGAGTAACTCTCTGGTTTCACTTTTGTGTTTCATTAAAAACACCCAAACTGCTCTAGAATGATCATCCACAACAGTAAGAAAGTAAGCATAACCATCATAGGAGATAACAGACAAAGGGCCCCAAATGTCAACATGTATAAGTTGGAACAGATCACTTGCAGTACTAGTGCTAACAGGGAATGGAAGGTGTTTGTGTTTAGAAAAATGGCAAACATCACAATGGGAAATCTTAGAACTAGTTACAGTGGAATCAGTTTGCTGTAACAAAGAAATCCTATCACTGCTAGAGTGTCCTAGTCTCCAATGCCAGAGATCAAACTGGTGAGCATTGAAGTTGAAGGTGGTGGCTGCTTGAGGAAGTGAAGATGTGTGCATTTGGTCTTGAGCTGGTTGGAAGGAAAGCTGGTACAGACCTCTAGACTCTTTGGCTAAACCAATCTTCTTCTTGCTTAGAAGGTCCTGGATATAACATGAATCAGAATGAAAGTGTAAGGCTAGAGGGGAATCTCTGGTGAGTTTGCTTACTGAAACCAGATTGAAAGAAAAACTGGGAACTAGAAGAACATTGTACAAGTACATTCCAGATGGTAACTTCACTGTTCCTATATGTGTAACTAAAACCTTGGTTGTATTAGGAAGGTACACATAGGTGTCAACAACTGGTTGGTACTCAGTGAACAAGGCTAAGGAACAAGATATATGGTCTGAGGCTCCTGTGTCTAGAATCCAGAAGTGTACTACATTGGTATTGGTAAGGTTGTTATGAGTAGAGAGCACATAATTACCTGAGTAATTGGGAAAAGGTGGGAGATATTGTGAGACTGAGTAAGCATTGTGGTGAATAGAAGGTGATGGTGGAGGTGAATTGGCTATGTTAGCACTAGACTGCATCATGAACCTCAGCCTATTCATCTCCTCAGGTGTAAAACCTACCACTGACTTAGCAATACTCACAGGGCTCCCATCTGATGTGTCTCCAGTCACACTTCCTTCTCCTTGTGATTCCCCTGAACTTCCCTGTGACACAGCACCTGCAAATCTACTTGGCCCACGACCTTGTGTGTTACCTGTGTTGTTACCATTCTTTTGTTCCTTGTCTTTCCTCTTTTTGGTCCAGCATTCATCTATGTTGTGACCAGTTCTTTTACAAAACTCACAATACTTTTTGCCTTGCTGCCTCTGCCCTGTATTCTGATCTGAATCGACAGCCAAAGCCACACTTTGAGATTTCTTACTGCTACCCCCTGCTTCTCCTTTCAACTTCTGTTCATGCTGCAACAGGTCATCCACAGCTTCAGATACACTTGGGAGTGGTTTCTGCATCAAGATCTGAGTCTTGACTACTTCATAATCTGAGTTCAATCCTCGTAGGAACCTGATTAAGTAGTCTGTCTCTTGCCTTTCTGTATATGCTGTCACTGCTGCACAAGGATTAGGATTTCCAGGTGCACAGTTACATGGAACAATTGGGCTAAACTGCATATACTCCTCCCAATAGCCTTTCATCTGGGTATAATACTGATTTATAGTAGAACTCCCCTGTTTGCAGGCCTGGATTTCATCTTCTAGGTTGATGATTTTGATAGCATTTGGTTTACCAAACCTTCTCTTCAACTCATCCCACAGGACTTTAGCATTGACATGATTCATGACAGATCTTCGCAGATCTTTGTGTAAAGAGTTCAGAATCCATGACAATACTGCTGTATTACAAGCATCCCACAGCAAATAACGATCATCTGTAGTTGGAGGCATTGGAATGCTTCCATCTACAAAACCCAGCTTGTGTTTCATCTTAAGACCCATAATTACTGATCTACTCCACATAGTGTAGTTCGTTCCATCGAATAACTCAGATCCAACAGATTGGTTGAGCGCTTCGTTTGGGTTCAGGTAAAATGGGTTTCCAAAAGTGATTACCTCGGTTCGTTGATCTTGCTGTTGAGCATCAAATGAGCCAAACTGAAATCGAGCACCAGATCCTGTTGCTGTAGCATCGGATCTTGGCGTTCCCGATGGTGGTGTCTGTGCTCCTGACATTCTGCGACCTTAGATCGTTCGCCGCTCTGATACCATATTGATTTTGTATGAGGGTTTGTGAAATGCAGAACCCTTAGTGAAGAAGGGCTGCAGGAGGTTGTATATATACCTCGGTTTAAATCAATCCACAGTGTTTTGCCACATGTCAGAGAGACATTGGCTATTACAAAACAGACTTACTGTTAATTAACGGCTAGTACAGTATTTAATAAAACGACAACGCTTTTCCTTTCTTCTTTCTTTCTTTCTTCAATCCGACACCGTTCCTCTCTTACTTCACAGCAGCTGTAAATCCTTCTTGCTCTCGGATTCTTCATTTGCTGCTGCCTGTGACTTCTTCTTCAGTCAACAGGATTGATTGGTTCCTTCGTGTAAGGAATCAATTTCCGGGCGGCGACGGAACCAAACTTCGCCCGGAACAGCACCGAGAAATAGTCAGGGAAAGGAAGCCCCAAATCGACCTCGCTCATGTACAAAACCCCTCTGTCGCTCCTCACAAACACGTAATCGTGGCTCAGCGCCAGGGTGAATCCGGCGGCGGCGGCGTGGCCCTGGATGACGGCGACGGTGGGCATCGGAAGGGAGATCTGCTCAGCTTTGATCGTCGAGGTTCTTCTCTGCTCCCTGCTCTTTCTCTCTTCCTGTTCGTTCTTCGAATTCTCATTCTTCTATTCCTGTATTTGAGAGGGGCCCACAAGGAGGATAGAGCAGCTGCACGGTGTCGTGGTAGAACGCACACCACAACCGTATGTTTTGCATTTACACTTCCTCCCAGCTACCCGGAAAACTCGATAGTAGAAGAAAGCACCGGAGAAGTGAGAACAATTTCTTTACCTGCTTCGATGGGTCGATTTTCAAGGTCTGGAAAAGAGGATGAATTCTCCCTCCACGCTAACGGATTCTCCAATGTTGTCATCACCAAATTCTTTTCATTTTTTTCATTTTCCCACCTTGTTTATTGCATTAAAATGATAGAAGAGGATATACGGATAGCTTTATGACAATGTAATGGTTGATACCTCATCACCAATTGTCCCTACGATCAACAACGTTTATCATATTTTCTATTATTATTTTATGATGTATCAGAAGCATCCTAATGTAGAACATAAGTCTCGTGAAACAAAACAGAAACACCACAAGGTGAGCTATAAATATTTTTAAATCACACCAAAAATCTTATTATACAAACCATAACTCTCCTAAAACAAACCAAACACATCACAAAGCACACCAAAAACTTTATAATACAAACCACAAACACGGTAAAACAAAACACAAAAAAGCATACCAGAAACCTCCCAATGCATGCGACAAAACCCCTAAAACAAACCAAAAACCTCACAAAGCAAACCACAAATATTTTGAAAGCACACCAGAAAACTCATAACGCAAACCATAAACACTGTAAAGCAACCCACAAAAACAAACCAGAAACGTTCTAATGCAAACCAAAAATATATTAAAACAAACCAGAAACCTCACAAAGCAAACCACAGAATATTCAAAAACACACCAGAAACCTCATAATGCAAACCACAAACACGTTAAAACAAACCACAAAAACAAACCAGAAACCTCCTAATGCACACCACAAATCTCCTTAAACAAACCAGAAACCGCTCAATGCAAAACACAAACTTTTTGAAAGCAAACCAGAAACTTCTCAATACAAACCACAAACACGATAAAGCGAACCACAAAAACAAACCAGAAACCTCCTAATGCATACCACAAATCTCCTAAAACAAACCAGAAACCCCTCAATGCAAACCACAAATTTTTTGAAAACAAACCAGAAACATCTCAATGCAAACCAGAAACACGATAAAGCAAACCAGAAACTTCTTAATGCAAACCACAAACACGATAAAGCAAACCACAAAAGGCATACGAAAATATGAGAAACCAAACCATAAATATCACAATGTAGACCAAACATCCGGTGGTCGTTGACCATTGACCGGTCAACGAAGTTCGTTGACCGAACTCCGGTGACCGTCAGTCAACAGATTCCGACGCCGATAGGCATATTCCGACCCCGATGACTAGATTCCGACGCCGGTAAGCATATTCCGACGCCGGTAAGCATATTCCGACTCCGGTAAGCATATTCCGGCCACAAAATAGCATATTCCGGCGATAAAAAGCATATTCCGGTGACCAGCGACCATTTTCCGGCGACCGGTGGCAGAATTCCGGCGACCAAATTTTTGGGCAGAAAATAAAAAAATATTTTTTTATTTTTATTTTTATTTTTTTATTATTTAAACATATTTTTCATAATGACAATTATACCCGTGTTTTGATTTTACACTAGGTCAACTCAACTAATAAAAAGTCATCACATCCCTAGCTTCCTATTGGTTGGGGACTAGTGTTGTTACAATAACAACACAATGGGTGTTGTTACAATAACCGGTCCCCTTGTATACCAAGAGAATTGAAAATTGAGGAGTTATATCAGTACTTTTGGTGAGGGAGGTTATTCGGTTCGGTTATAACTGTTAATTTAGCAAACCAAATAGAAGAAAATTAAAGGAAATAAGGAGTTTTTTAACGTTGTATCGTCAATAAAACACTAGTTCACGGAGAGGATTTCCCTCTTAAATTTTAATATTATCAGTTTTCTTAAGATCTGTTGTACAACTTATTACAATATAGGACTTTGCCCTACCTAAATCATATCCGTGTAAACTACGGCTACGCTAGAGAGGAGCCCTAATACAAAATGGTCTCCTTAATCAACACCCTCCCTTAAATTGATGTTGGGTGCGCAACATCAATTTGGAAGAAAGATAACAGTGACTACTAGATGCTACCGCCTTAGTGAGTAAATCTGTTGTCTGATCTTCTGTTGTCAAGTAGCTTAGGCGAACCAACCCTTCTGCGACTAACTGTCGGATGTAATGAACATGGACCTCAATATGCTTAGTACGTTCATGCAGAACAGGATTGATATCGATCTGTATGACACTAGTATTATCCCCATATAATCTCATAGGCATGCAACAATTAACACCTATCTCAGAAAGAACTCGTTGTAACCAAACCAGCTCAGTACCAGCTTTGGACATCGACCTGTATTCGGCTTCAGTTGGAGATTTGGACACATTATCCTGCTTCCGACATTGCCAAGAAACAAATGACTGCCCAACCCTAATACACCAGTCTGAGGTCGATTTCTGAGTATCATGAAATCCTGCATAATCAGCATCAGCAAAGGCTTCAACTATAAAACTGCCTTTGGCTAGAAAAAACAAACCCACATCTTGCATATAGTGTAAGTATCGCAGGAGTCGATGCATATCATCAAGATGTGGTATACGAGCTGCTCCCATAAACTGACTCAAAATCTGCACCGTATAAGAAATGTCTGGCCGAGTGTGAGTGAGATAAAATAAGACTACCCACCACACTTCTGTGCTGAGTTGATCTTCTAGAAGATCTCCTTCATCTCGTTGCAACTTTAAATTTTGCTCAATGGGGGTGGCACGACTAACTCTGGTCGAACTAGATAGACTTTGAAAGATCAGATATATACTTCTTCTGGCAAACAAACAATCCCGAAGAAGAACGTTGAATTTCAAGACCCAGAAAATAAGAAGCCTTGCAGAGCTCCTTCAGATTGAAGGCAGTTTTAAGGACTTGAGTAAGTTCCTAAATACCTTCACTGTCACTCCCAATAATAACCATGTCATCCACATATAATAGGAGAATGATAATGCCATTAACCCTACGTCACGTAAAAAGTGAATGATCATTACTTCTCTGTATAAAACCTTCATGGACAATGGTACCGTGAAATTTCTCAAACCTAACTCTGGGAGCTTGTTTGAGACCATATAGAGAACGTCAGAGTTTGCATACCATTTATTTCCCTCCTGCGGCATACCCAGCTGGGCATTCCATGTAGATGTCTTCCTTCAAGTCTCCATGTAAGAAGGCATTCTTCACATCTAGTTGAATAAGAGGCCATCCTTGCATTGCTGCCACAACAAAAACAATACGACTGTCTGCATTTTGACAACCAGTGCAAAGGTCTCCTCATAATCAATGCCATACTCTTGACAAAAACCTTGAGCTACTAGTCTAGCTTTATGACGTTCAATGGTACCATCTGGATGCATCTTGATAGTATACACCCATCGACACCCAATAACAAACATACCTGGAGTACGTATAACAACATCCCACGTTTGATTTTCATCCAAAGCACGCATTTCATCATTCATTGCGGCTTTCCAATTCGGGTCCTTCTTTGCTTCATCATAGTTAAAGGGAATAGTAGCAGGTTCAGAAGAGAAACCTATATAATCATGAAGATGAATCGGGACTTGACCAATGGTGGAGCGATTTGACCTTCGAAGAGCAGGCTGCTCTTGTTGCTCTAGCTGTTGTTCCTTGAGCTGTTGTGCAACATCAAGGGAAGAAGCAGGAGAAGATCTAGGGCCTGAATAAGAACTAGTACCATGTGATACGCCCCTGGGGGGGTGTATGTTTATCAAAGTCACGCAGCTAACGACTCAATCGAAGAATCGATTGAGCTCGAATCAAGAACGAAGCGTTCTTAATACGAACTTGGATAAAACGGAACCAAAAGGACAAATCCACACCTGGGGATAGCTCGATTGGTATAAAAGAGTAGTTGCTCGACCACGATTGAAGTGACTATTCAATCGATACACAAGCTCAGCAAGTTTGGAATCCACCAAACCCAAAACAAGTCGCAACTTGCACAAACCAAACGGTTTCGATTTCTATTCAACAAAGTCTTAGTTTTACAACGAAAGTAGAAAGGTATTTAAAGGCAAATAAACCTAATACAAACCTAATAGAAGTAGGAAACAATTAAGGTAAAAATATACTCTAAAAAGGACTCAAAATTCGGATTTAAAACTCTCTTTCTTCAAGTGCAAGTAAGCTGCCAGCAAACAGTCCAAAAGCTTTCGTACTAACTTCGCGCCTTTCGTTCAAGGCTTTCCGGAACTTCAATCTTTCATCCAATTCCTTCCCTTGGTATATAAACATACCTAGTTTTATGTTGTAGAAGCCTTTGGTCTCGAATCAAATCCATGCTCCTTGAACTGAGCTCCAAAGTAGGCTTCACAAAACAGTTTCCAGACTTAACCATTTTCTGGCAGTTTTCCAGTTTTGAGGTAGCAACTTTGAGGCTTTGGAAAACAACCTTAATGACTTTTTCTTGAGCAACCAAGCATACCAATGTGTAGATAATCACTCCATGTTTAACACAGATCATTAAAATTGAATTTCCATTGAGCCAATTAAGAGAAACGTCCCTCCAAAGTTGGCTGCTTGAACACGGAAAATGACTTGGACAATTTTCAGCTTTTTCTTTGCAATTCGACTTGGCCTCTTTGACGATTAATCCTGGATGGAATTCGATCAATTCCAGGATCGTATCAGGCTCCCCCTCTTCAAAAAGCTTTGACCTCAAAGCTTGAAGATTCCTTTTGTCAAAATCTTCGCAGAATTTATTCCAAACTGGATCGAAAGTAGCCTGCTCAAACCTGTTCTTCTGCAGAATTTTGACAGCTTCAACTTCATCATCAATCTGTGCTAGGAACTTTGAAGCTTGCAGTGTTGTTGGAAACATTTTCTGGGATTGAAATATACCAAAATTGTTGCCCAATTGCGCCGGAACACAACTAAGGAGTTGCCCAGAACTTCCAGCCGCAATGACGGACTCGGACGGTTGCTGCAAACTTGGGATTTGTTGATTCAGACCTCCCCACTCCAATTTTCCACTTGAATCTCGTTCACCCAGCTTCTATATGAAGCTTCCAAACATTTCCAGGTCTCGTCCAACCTCA